AAAATACATTTAAACTTCTCCTACGATAAGTATAAATTGTCGCTCTTTCATTCATTTTCATCAGATCTCTCCGAAGCTTGTGAAAGATCACGAGTCGCTGAAGTATATTTAATTTAAGTTCTATTATGTATCGTATCATAGAGTTTAATTTAAATGCTCCCATCATTTTATTGGATATCATTTAACATAATGTGAATCCAGACAAACCTAGTCAATTGAAGAAAATTATATACCTTGTTCTGATTTCAATAGGCCTATCCTACCTGAGTGAACGATATTGGCCAAAATATTGTTCGTTCCCTTGCAAGTCCATGGCTATTGTGAAAATAAGTTGTGGGTTGAATAATCGTTTTGACATGTCCTAATAAAACATTAGGTGACTTCCAATCATTCTACGAGTAAACACCATTCCATTTTGTTAAAATAACAACATTAAAAATTAGGATTTTTTTTAGAAGTTACAAAATTAAAAGTGTAATGCAAGATTTAGATTCCGTTTTTAGAATTGAAAGGGAAATGTCTTATGCTCAAAGCCGATCAGAGTCGAAATGGCAAAGTTATTAGCCTCCAAAGGGGTAAATGTATGCGAAAACGACCAAATTGTCAATTTGGGGCGCAATAACTCTGTCATTTTGATTCCGATCGTCTTGAAGCATAAAAAATTTTCGTTTTCTTTTGTCAAGATGAACCCGAAACAGTAGTTACCTTTTTACATTTCTCCCGAAACCACTACCCCTTTCCCCAATCCAACTTACGTAAGTAAACACGTAAACCATTCAAAATATCACTTTCGTTCCTTTTGACCGGACACTTGCGAAACTTCGTAGGTCCAGTTCCGCAAATCTAAAATTAAAAATATCACACCCAGCTTGACGATCTGACAATTTAATGACTTGTGAGAGAGTATCAAAGTCGCGAAGTGAGCGCCGGAGCCACCGGCGCTTTTCACCCACTCGAGTGCAGTGCTGCCAGCATACCAACGAACTGCGCGCGAATTCAAATTAAACGATTGAATATTTCAAAGCTGGCCAATGATGAAATAATGCACACAGATAATCCTCGTTAATTCTCTATTCTTAGACTAACCCGCTTCTCGCTGTCAGTGCAGGACATTTTGAGGAGATACGGAATGTGACACACAGACAGACAGACAGACCCACGACGGAGACACCGCCTGACCCCTCATCGACTTGGACTGAGCTTCGCTCATCGACAAGAAAAATATTCGATTTCCTATAAAAAAAAATTGACACTTCATTACCGCTTGCAGGACCATGCGCTTAGCTGTTGTTTGCATCTTGCAGACCATGTTGAATACAATAAGTTAACTCTAGCGATCAATAGTTAAACGACAGGCACCAAATGAAAATGAACATGTGTCACGTGATCTCCACTGAAGGAGACGTGCCACGTGCCTCAGCCCCTCCACATGGACACTTTAATGGCTCATCTCAAGTAGCTAATTGCTCGCCGATGCGAGTACTCAGATGTTTGACAAGTACATCCCATCGACAGTTGGTGTGGTACACACAGGTGGTTGCGTTTGTTTTGTTTATTCCGTTTAATTTTCAAGGGTCGTCTATGATAAAGGAACGTTTAAGAAAGATGTTTTACAATTTGAATGAAAACATACCCGATATTTATAAGCCATCTTAAACGTTGCGACAAAATGTCTTGAATTGTTTTCAAACTTCCCGACTTATAGTCCATGTTTGCCGTTCAATTACTTATCCGTGGTATGTTCTTTTGCTTCTGTCGATCAAGTTTTGAATTACGCTGAAGTACTTTCACGACGTGTACTTCCTATTGACTTCCTTCTAACACACATAATAAGAAGTTTAAGTAGCGACGACCAGTACCTCCCATCGGGTGTACGGGCCACCCCCTCAGGTGGTGCTCGTGTTTGCTCAAGACAAAACACATGTCTTCTGCTATATAACCTGCCGCTTGGTTCTCATCGGCACAGTTCAGTCCCCTGAGCACATTGTCCCACCATGACCAAGTACATCATTGCCGTCCTCGCCATCGGCGCCATCCAGGTGAGCCAGAGCGACGCATCGGCTGGTGGTGGGCGCCGCCAGGATGCACCCGCTTGACGTCGTCTTATTGTGTTGCAGGCTGCCAGCGCCGCACCCGAGCCTCTCATCTCTCCCCTGGGAGTGACTCGAGGCTTCCTCGACGCGGCGAAGACCAAGGTGGGCGCTGCTCAGGGCATCACCAACGCCGCCATCCAGGCCGGCAGCGACGGCATCAACCTGGGTCTGGATGCCGTTCAGGTAAGGAGTGTTCTGGTCTGACAGGGTGAGGTATAAGGCGGCCTGTGAACGTTCTGTCCATACTCGTGCAGGGCGTGGAAGCTGTCAAGTCCAACGCCCTCCGCGGGGCCGTCAACATCACCAGAAACTTGGGCACTGAGGTCATCACCCAGACCCGAAACATCGCCAACCACCTGCCCTCCGCCCTCGGCATCCGCGGCGTTGCCAACCTCGGCCTTAGTGGTGCTCAGGGCGCCCTGGACCTTGGCGCCAACGCTGCCACCGGCGTCTTTACCGGAGCTCAGGTAAGGCCACCGACTGCGCGAGGACGATTTTCTTTGACTTGCGACGAGCGCGCTGATTGCACCTCTTCCGTGGCCCCGCAGGCCCTCGTCAACGGCACCCTTGATGCTGGCCGCACCGTGAGCACCGGCGTGTCTGGCGCTGCTCAGACCGGCGTCAACTTCGCCGGCAACGTGCCATTGGTGCCGCGCAGAACGCCGCCGGCAGAGTGGCCAACACTCTCACCGGAGGCCTCGCGGGCCGTCTTGGACTTACCGGCAACGGCGGCGCCTCCGGAGGCATCAGGCTGGGCTAGAGATATGGACACGACGACACCCTTGGGCGTCGAAGCCCAATGCCATGGAAGTAAAAAATATAAATTATAACTGTAATCGTAGTAATTATTTAAATACCTACGCATCGTAATATTAATGTCGCCTGACAACTATAGTTGTAAACGAAGTGAACGATGCATCTTACTTCCTCTTGACAACACACGGATCGGTGAGGCCGATAATGATATCTAGCATCCGCGTCAAGCACGCAAAAAAATAAAAAAATGACTTGCTGGCTTAGCATAAGTTTTGCTGTCAGAGCTAATTTGCAAGCTCGATTCGGGATTGCTAATAGTTTTAGCTTATACAGCTAAAACTTTCCGCTCGGCGATGGGACACGGTCATTGCGATCGGAGGAAGTCGAACTTTTCCTGTGCCTCCATTCGTATATTAGCATTGAGAGCTAATAGAGATCTTGCAGCACTCCTTGGGTATGCAAACCCACCCGCACCTGTATCTTTTATGAACCACCCGGTACACTCACGTCCCTGAAGAGTCACGCATGGACAGCATCTTCGGCAGGACAGCCGCTTTACGGACACGTTTCTCTGTTTCCGTTGAGCTGCTCCCGATTTGTTTGGGATCCTTTATTGAACCCCAACCCTGCCCTGCTGCCGGCACGGTGCTCCCCCGCGACCGTGAGCTGCCTCCGGAACCACTCCCTCCCCCGCCTCATCACCAAATCAAACAAAAGAAACACGCAGGCTGATTTCATTCCTTTATTCGCGGGAGAAAAAAGGATAGGGAGGAAAATAAAGAGAGAGAAACAGAAAAGATGAATGCACTTTGAGACGAGGTTGCATGCGGATCATCTGCCCCTTCACTGTGGCGTCACCCCTAAGATCGTGAGGGGTGAGAGTAAGAGAATAGGAGTGAAAGAGAAAGAGAGAAAGAGAGAGAGAGAGAGAGAGAGAGAGAGAGAGAGAGGGAGGGAGAGAGAGAGAGAGAGAGGGGGGGGGGGGAGATGTATTGGGGCGCCGGGGGAAGATGAAGAAGCGGTTTGAGTGCTGACACGCTGCCTCCCGTCCCATCCTCGGAGCGTCTGCAGGTGGTGGTTCACTTGTTTGTCACTCCCTCCCCCACTTCCCTTCATTTCATCCTCCCCTCCTTTTGCCACTCTCTCCCTCACGCGTCAATTTTGTTTCCCCTCCGTTATTATTTTGCTCAAGGGGCCTCACTGTCTTGTGGCGTGGCACCACCGCAGCGTCCTCGCGCCGTCGCCCCGCCCCAGGGCGCGCACCACACGGCCTCCCGGAGGGGTGTTCTGTTCCCACCCCGGCCCGGTACGCCCCACCCGTCGTACCTGCCCTCAGAGTACGGACACTGCCGACAGGTACGATAACGCGACGGACAACAGGTTTTCTCTGCCGACAGGCA